CCTGTGTGTCCTGTGTGTCCTGTGTGTCCTGTGTGTCCTGTGTGTCCTGTGTGTCCTGTGTGTCCCCTGTGTGTCCTGTGTCCCCTGTGTCCCCTGTGTGTCCTGTGTCCCCTGTGTCCCCTGTGTCCCCTGTGTGTCCTGTGTGTCCCCTGTGGCAAAACCAGGAAGGAATTTTCCCCTTTGGGAGCCTCCCAGGCCCAGGTGCTGCAGCTGCAGGAAGGAGCAGGGCTCAGGGTGAGCAGGGCACATCCCTCTTGTCCAGCTTCCCTTGCTGAGCCTGAGCCCCCTGTCCCTCACACAAATGGACAAATGGAAAAATTCCAGCATGATTTCATCTGCTAGGAGATTCCTCAGGAATCACAACCAGTTCAGGGACAGGACAAGGAGCAATGGCCACAAACTGAAACAACAAGTTCAACCTCAACATGAGCAAGAACTTCATTCCTTGGAGGGGGCAGAGCCCTGGGACAGCTGCCCAAGGAGGGTGTGGAGTGTCCCTCTCCGGAGACATCCCAAACCCACCTGGACGTGTCCCTGTGTCCCCTGCTCCAGGTGACCCTGCCTGGGCAGGGGTTTGGACTGGCTGGTTCCCAGAGGTCCCTTCAGCCCCAGCCACCCTGGCATTCTGTCACTCTGTGCTCTGAGGGTGCAGTGGTCACAGAGCTGCTGTCAGGGAGCCAGGCCAGGCCTGTGCAGCACCTGAAGTTTGCACAGATGTCACTTTTGGGGATGTTTGCCATCGTTAGATCTGGAGTGTAACAGGGAGGCATCTGATGAGGAGGCCAGTCTGCAGGGAATGGAGCGGGAGCCTGAAGGACAGTGAGGCACCATCCAAAGCAAGATTTGTCCTTTTTTTTAATAAAAAGCTAAGGAAAATAAACCCTCTGGTAGCTGCTGCCAGGCGGTTCAGACACTGGATATTCCTTTCCTAGGAATATTTCCTTTCCTAGAAAAGGCTGTGATCAGGCTTGGTTCAACTTCTGAGCAAGCACCAGTTCCAGACCCTTCTACAGAGCCCTCTGTACCATCACACACATCCCCCCAAAAGCTGAATACATTTTAGGGGGAAGGAGAGCCCTGGACCATTCCAGGGCCTGCAGAGCACCATCCCAGGGATGCAGGGAGACCTCCAGCTCCTCCCAGAGCTTTTAAATGCTGGTGGGACCTCTGGGAGCTGTGGCACCACTGCAGTGCTGGGATGGAGCCGAGCAAGAGTGGAAACCCCTTCTCCTGGTCATGGAGCCCCATGTCCCAGCCCAGGAGAGAAGCCTGGAAAGAAAATGCTGCTCCATTGTGGCAGGGCAGCAGGGATGAGCCTCAGGAGACAGGGAGACAGCTGAGGCTGAGGGACCAGCACAGCACAAGGGATGGAGGTGGAGGATTCACGGCTGGACCCCAGAGAAGCTGAGAAATGCCATAATTCCAGCACAGCTGTGGAAACTGGGAGCTCTCCACCACCCTGTAGCCAAAGAAACAGGCTCTACGCTGTGCTGAGACACAGAACACTCTTCCCAAGGGAAAAACCAGCCCTGTTGGAACCGGTCCAGCTCCTTAGAGGGTATTAATGAGTTCTGCTGATCATACCAGGGGAAGCTCTGGGCTCCTCCTCGGGCAGGTGCAGCTCCCCTGGGCAGAGCAGGGGAGAAGGGCTTGGCCCTGGAGTTTCTCTGCTCACAGCACATCCTGCAGCTCTGCTCCCTCGGCCACGAGCACTGAGCCTTCCCCTCGGGGCTGTGGGGCTGGAACAGCAGATGGGACAGCCTGAAGGATGAAGTGGGTCTGGATAAACATCAGACTGCTTCTCTGGCCATCCCTTCCCTCACAGACTCGTCTCTCTGCCTGATTTCATCACCCCTGGCCCTGGGGACCTGCAGCACGGCCTGTGCTTTGAGGGTGAGCTCAGGGTGGCCTAAATAGCTCTGTTAAAGGAAATCCGGTCTGGCTGTTGTTTGCTGAGGGCACCAATGAGCCTGTGGATAAGGGTGACCTGGGAGACAAGCATTTGCCTGGGTTTCCAGAAGCAAGGACCTTAAGGTCAAGCACAGCTCAGAGGGAAAGTCCAAACAGAGCTAAATATTCAACCAGCAAAGAGAAAACAGTAGTGAGATAAACCGCTGATAATCCCTGCGATTTTGTCACAGAGGAGGGGAAGATTTTGCTCAGCAGAGGGGAAGACTGGTGATGCAGACATTCAGAAAGACCTGGCAGCACTTGGAGTTTGGGGATAAAGTAGCAAAGGAGGTTTAGAGGGGTATGAAGTGACAAATGGAAAAACTCCAGCATGATTTCATCTATGAGATGAGGGGCTCTGGGCTGGCTTTACCTCCTTGGGAGTGAAATTTTGGGGTTATGGTGGACATGAAAAGATGTGAGGAACATCAGGGAGAAGAGGAGCTCCATGGCAGCAAAGACCTCCAGACATGAGAGGTGAATGCTTTGTGCCAGCAGGAGCTGAGATAAAGGAAGGGATTTCCAGCAGTGGGGAACAGCCCCTGGGAATTCTTGCTGAAGGATATTTTCTCCACTGACTATTTTCCTGGGTTTGAGGGAAACGGGGCAAACCCACGGAGGAGAAACCCTCTGAGGGATCTCGAATAAAGAGGAAACTCTGTTCAGCTCCAAAGGTTTCTGAGCTGCAAATAAAGCCCTGGGAAGGAGCAACTGTCGGGAAGGGGCGAGTGTCAGCGAGGGGGCGAGTGTCAGCCAGGCTCATCCTTTGCCTAATCCCCAGGCACTAAATGCCCGTCTAGAGTTTCTTCAACTTAATAACCAGAGGAATTGCAGACTGGGAGGTTTTCTATTCCTTTGCTGTGTAGATCCTAGCTGGGGGTGTTCTTTCACTGCCACGTTCAGTCTAATCCTTTGGAAAACCCTGCTAAGTCCTGTGCTCCAGTGCTATCCTTTGGCAATGAGTTTTGTGAGCGCCGTGCTTGCCGTGCATTAATCACAGAGCTTTTATTGCTCTACAGGAGCTGCTGATGCTGGACTGCTATATATAGTCTGTCAGCAATTAGCAGGATGCTTGCAAGGTTATTTAAGTAATTTTTTTCCCTTATGCCATAACTAGCTGAATTCTCTGTGTATATGAAAACACTTGAAAGACGACTGATTGCTGCAAGAAGAAAGAGGAGTAGAGAGGCGAGCCCTGCTTGGAGCAGGCGGCTCGTTTGACAGGGCTATCTCCTAGAAATGGGATTTTAATCAGGAGCCTTTGATTAAAATTGTTGCTCAGGTCATGGCACACCCCAGTGGGCTGGAGGCGTTCAGGGCCAGCCCAGCCTCACAACCAGTTCCTCGGGCTGGTGCAGGGATGGATCTCGCTGGGCCCAGAGGTCCTGGATGATCTCACTGGGAGCAGAGGTCCTCAAGGGGTCCTGGATGACATTTCCTGCAGGGAATAGTGCCTGGCTGCCCAAGCAGGGGGAGCACTGGGCCATGCTGTGGGAAAATCCAGGCTGGGACTCAGTTCTGCTGTTCCTGGGCCCTCCACCTGCCCCTAAGACAAATCCCATCCCCACTAAAGGCAGCGCTGCCGTGGCTTGGCACCTGCCCCGTGTAAGGGTGGGGGTCTCAGGGCATCGCCAGAGGGGAGGATGGGTTTGGTGGCTGGTCCAGGTGTGGGGTGAGCCTGGGCACAGGGCCTCCCTGGCACACAAAAACTGGGTACCCCCCATGCTCCAGCCCCCTCCCCAAAACTGGGAGTGCTCACTGCTGCACCAAAGCTCGTAAGAGAGATAAGGGGAGCCTTTGACAGCTCCATCCCAGACCTCCAGAAAGGGCTGGAAGGAGCAGGGGACCCTCCCAGGCTCTTTGGAAAGGGCTGGACTGCGCCCAGCCGGAGGTGTTTTAATGACTGTTTTGGATCCCCGGGAGCCAACCTCCTCCCACTCAGCCGGGGTAATTCACCTCCTCCGCCGGGCTGCAGGAGCTGTTGACTGGTGGATTGTGGCTGGTAGAACTGGTTCTCTGCAGGGAGTTGTCTCCCAAAGCCTGGGAGACGTGGATGGCCCGAGCTGCGGCTCCCGGCTCGGAGCCTGGCACAGAGGAGGGCTCTGGTTTTGCGTGGCACTGCTGGGCAGGGCGGCTGTGGCACACAAATCACAGCCTGTGTCAGGTAGATAAGGAGCCATGTGATGCAGCTGCTGGGGACAGGGTGGCAGGCAGGGTGAAGGTGCACAGGGAAATAACCTTGCAGGGAGTTCCTCCTTCCCTCCGTCCTCGGGGAGCAGAATCTCGGGGCAGCGCTGATCCCCCCTGGCTCTGGATGCCTGCTCGGCTTCTGGGGGCTCTCTGAAACACCCGGGAAGCGAAAATGTCCCTTAGCAGGAGGAACTGGTCCGATCTGTCCAGGTAAGTGCTGTGGGTTAATGCTTAACCCCTTCCACCGCCGGCAGGGAGAGGAGAGGGTGGGCTGCTGGTGGCCAAAGGGGCTTGGGCACGATGGGCAACTGCCCTGGGAGTGTTTGCTGTTTGCAGAGGTGAATGCCAGCCCCACCGAGAGCTTCTTGTGCCTGGGCAAGCTTACAGGAGGTTTTGTTTCTGCTGCCTGGGGAAGCTGAGCCAGGCGCTGGAGAATTACCTGGATAAGCGTTCTCGCCCTGTGCTGGGTACATTTTGGGTCTGTTTTGCCTTTCTTTGGGGAACAAACTGTCTGGGCTGTGCCTCCAGACCTGCTTTGAGCTGGCTGGGGGCGTCTGCAGTCCCCCCATGGCCAGGCAGCCCCTGGGTGTGTGTGTCCTGCTCTGCCCTGACTGCAGCCCGTGCTGTGCCTGATTCGGTCACTGAGCAATCCCTGAGCAATTCCCGCAGCTCCCCCGGCCTTCCCAAAGAGTGACCCAGAGTAGGGGAGGATCCCGGGGTGGGTCAGGGGACCTGGAGCAAGGTGAGATCAGCCCTGACCCCCTGCAGACCCCAGGGCAGCCTCGGCTGTGCAGGAGCCGTGATGGAAACGCAGAGAGAGCCACGGTGTCCCACAGATCAGAGCAGGAATTCTGGCCCCAGTGGATGTTACAGTTCTGAGACCAAATCTCAGTACTGGGTGTAAAAATGGGCATCTCATAGAATCCCAGAAAGGTTTGGGTGGGAAGGGACCTTAAAGCTTATCCCATTCCACCCCATGCCTCAGGCAGGGACACTTTTCACTATCCCAGGTTGCTCTCTAAGCCCTGTCCAGTCTTGGATGTTTCCAGGGATCCAGAGGCAGCCACAGCTTCTCTCACCACTCTCACTGTGAAAAACTTCCTTATTTTAGTGGAGACCCCACTGCTCGGAGGCCAGCAGCTCTCAGCTGCCTCTGCCATGGGTGGGACAGATCCAGGAGCCATTCCAGCCCCATCCAGATCCATCTCCTCTGAGCCCAGCTGGGTCCTGCACCCCAGAAGACATTTCCTGAGCTCTCCTGAGATGAGGCAGCACTGAGAGAGCAGAAATGTCAGAAATCTCTGCATTAATCATTGACAGGGCAGGAGGGACAAGGCAGGGACACTCACCAAAGTTCTTACTCATGTCTTTGTGTTAAAAAATGTAAGACAGTGAAAAATAAATCCCTCTTTGAAAAGAGGAGGGGAAGATTGGCAGAGGAAATCCATAGCCTGATGGGTGCATGGCTTAATTAGAAATAACGAGGAGGCAGCTTTTGTGGGTAGTGCCAGGTTTTGTGCTGCCTCAGAGCAGGAAAATCCCCTTTTCACTTGGAAGGAGACTGTAAAATGCAAGAAGTGCCCATCGTGCTGAGCGTTATTGCTCAGTGCTGAGCAGAGCTCAGGGGTGCAGAGGCACCAGGATCTGTGTCCCCACAGTGTCCGTGCCGGGGTCTCTGTGTGGGCTGGGCACACGGAGGGGGCACACCTGGAGAACCTGAACCTTCCCTGGGCACTTCCCAGCCTTGGCACACGGAGGGGTCACACCTGGAGAACCTGAACCTTCCCTGGGCACTTCCCAGCCTTGGCACATGGAGGGGGCACACCTGGAGAACCTGAACCTTCCCTGGGCACTTCCCAGCCTTGGCACATGGAGGGGTCACACCTGGAGAACCTGGACTTTCCCTGGGCACTTCCCAGCCTTCCCCAGCCGATCTCTCCCGGTTCGGAGCGCGGGGTGCCCGGAGCTCCCGGCCGTGCTGCGGGAGGGAAGGGCAGCAGAAGCGGGCACTGCCCTGCCCTGGCCCCGCTCCCCTGCCCCGAGCAGGAAGAACAGAAACACAAACGCTGGCAGGGGGTAAAGAGGTTTAATTTATCACAGGCTGGGATTACTCAGTAACCTCGAGCCAGCCGCGAGCCCTCGCCGTAACGCGGCCCTGCCACCCTGGCTTTCGCTAAAAGTCAAACTGGGGACAAGGCCTGAGCAGGGCTGACACTGGAGCTGGGATGAGATACTGGGATGAGGAGCTGGGATGAGATCCTGGGATGAGGAGTTGGGATGAGGAGTTGGGATGAGATCCTGGGATGAGATCCTGGGATGAGATCCTGGGATGAAGAGTTGGGATGAGGAGCTGGGATGAGATCCTGGGATGAGATCCTGGGATGAGGAGCTGGGATGAGATCCTGGGATGAGGAGTTGGGATGAGGAGTTGGGATGAGGTGTTGGGATGAGATCCTGGGATGGACCCTGCACAGGGAGGCTCTGTTGGGGTGCCTGGAGCTCCATGGGATTCCCTGCAGTGTTTGTGGCTGATCAAGGGTTTATGTTGGGGGTGATGGACCTGGCTCTGAAAAGCCAATAAATTATTAGTTTTATTATAATAATTAATAATGAATTGTTATTAATTATTTATAAATTTGATTGGCTCCATCCAGCCAATAAAAATATTTCCAACACTGTCCATGCACCAGCACAGGAGGTGGGCAGGTTTGGCACAGGGAAAGGATGGCAGAGCTGGTGTTTTCCAGACAACTTTTTATTCTGAGTGTTGTTTTATTAAAACAAAACAAAACAAATAAAAAACAACCCACGTTTGGCTTGTGCAAAATAAAAATGGTCAAAGATGATTCCAAACTTTGTCTTTTTGGCTCAGTCTGTGATTATAAACAATTCCCTGTCCAGGCACATGCAGGAGGGAAGAGGAGCCCTGCTAGCCCCATCCCCAGGCAAAGCCTCTCAGCAGCTGCCTTCAGCCTCTGATACTTTTGTGTCTGAGGATTTTTGCTCTATAAAAATTAAATTGCCATTCCCACAACTTGGTTTTGGCCTAGAATCTTGTGCCATAGTGGTCACCCTTCCAGTTTGTGTGGTTGAGGGCTGTGTGGTAGCTCAAGGCTCCTGCTCTGGCTGAGTTACAGGTTCAATATCCTGTGTTATACATATATAGGGATTCCTAGAAAATGAGTGCTCCCCCCAGCAGGAGAAATTAGGAGTTGGGAAGTCAAGTGCTTGCTTTGGGAAGGGCCTGCATCAGCTGGGTGGAGCGAGAGCACTGGTTTGGGACACTTGGCTTGTGCTGGCCTCGCTCTCCTCCAGCAAGGTGACTCCTGGCAGCCCCTTGGCCTTGCCCAGGGTGCAGCAGGGCCTCGTGCAGGACACAGCCCAGAAATGTGCACTACCACACTTGTGTTTTCTCCCAAACAGCCTGGCCAGGCAGAGGACCCTGGAGGATGAGGAGGAGCAGCAAAGAGAGCGCCGGCGAAGGCACCGGAACCTTCTGTCCTCCACATCCATGGATGAGGAACCTGCCAGCCCTGTCAAAGACACCAGCCCAGCTTCCAGCAGGTCTGTGGGTCCACGTTGGCCCCTGACACCGAGCCCTGGCAGCTGCTGCAGGTGGTGGGATTGGCTCCTGGCTGGGCTCAGCTGTGGGAAGAGCCCTTGGGAGGAGGGATGGGCTCCCCAGGAGGACAAGGGGGGATGTGTTGGGTGGGGTGGGATGGGCTCCCCAGGAGGAGCACAGGGTGAGGATGTGTTGGGTGGGCTCCCCAGGAGGAGCACAGGGTGAGGATGTGTTGGGTGGGCTCCAGAGGAGGAGCACAGGGTGAGGATGTGTTGGGTGGGCTCCCCATGGCCCAGGAGTGCTGGGACAGGGCTGGTGCCAGGGCTGAGCCCTGCTGGGGGCTGCAGGTGGGATGTGCAGCAGGTAAGGGCTGCTCAGCTCTGCAGGGCAGGAGAGCAGAGCAGGCAGAGCCTGGCTGCCTGTGCTGCCCCTCTGAACCTCACAGTGACGCTGTGGGACCTTGGCTGAAGCTGGGATCTGACCCAAGGGCTTCCCAGTGGTGCTTCAAAGTCCCTGGCTGCAGGGAGCTGGCCTTTGGAGGTGCCCTGGGACCAGGCTGCCTTTACACAGCCTGCCCCACTCTCTGATCCTGGCAGTGTCCAGTATTTAGGTGGTTTGTGTCCACAGTGAGAGTCCCACTCCAGAGGTGCTCCTGTGTTTCAGACAGGATGGAGTTAGGACCCTTGGGTTGGGTGGGGGCTGGACATGACTAAAATGAACCAGCTGGGAAGGACAAATTCCTCTTCCCTGCTGCTGACACAGGCTGCCCATGTGATTGCAGCTCAGGAGGAGGGCAAGTGTTATCCCATCTCCTTCCCAATCCTGGGAGCATGCAGACACAGCAAGGTGTCCTTCTGCCCCTTCCCAGACCTTGTGCCTGTTTGCACAGGGAGGAGAAACAGCTTTTCACAGCTTGTGTCGGTACCATGCGTGGATCTGCCACAGCAGATTGACTCCCAACCAACATTTCCCACTTCAAGTTGGTGGGATTTTTCCTATTCTGGTGAAGAGTCACAGCTGCACCTCTTATCCAGCAGCAGCCCCAGCACACTGCCCCAAGCCTGGACCTCCTTGGCACAGGACTTGCTGGGTGCTGGTGTCCTGGATGGAGCTGCAGAAATGATTCATCTCTATGTCAAAAGGAAAAGAAGATTTTTAATCCATTGTTTTTCTCAGCTGAGCTGGGGTGATGGGGATGAGAGCCCTGGTCTGCAGGGAGGACTCCAGGATGTCAGTGGGATTTTTGTGCCCCTCCCCAGAGCCTTCTGCCTCACTTGCTGCATGAAATCCACCCCTCTAGCCCCAGGTTCTGGAGTTGTCATTCCATATTGTCCCTGTCCCTAGGCCTCCATCCCTCGTGAAGCTGCAGTCCCTGGAGGATGGGGAGGAGCAGAAGACACAAGAAGGGAGAAGGACGAGGTGGCTCCCAGCCGCGTGTGAGAAGCCGAGGCAGGAGCCGGAGCAGAAGGAGCCAGGGGTGGGAGGAAGCTGCCCGGAGCCAGGAGCGCAGCCCCGCAGGAGGCAGGAGAGCGGCCGGGCTGCAGAGCAGGGCCAGGAGCCGGCCAAGGGCAGAGGGGACCCAGCAGGAGACAAGAACCTGGAGCCAGCCTCCGAGAGGAAGGGGATGGTGAGGGCACGGCTCCAGGACAAGGAGCAGGGAGCGTGGACTCCTCGGGGGGAGCAGAGGAAGGAGCCGCCCGAGGTGGGGAGCTGCCGGCTCCGGGAGGTGAAGATCCTCACCAGGGTGGGAAACCGGAGCACAGAAGAGAAAACCTCGGCTGGGACCTCATCCCCGGAGCAGCAGGTGAGCAGGAATGGAGGAGGTACCAGGCCTAGGGAGGAGCAGAGAGAGGGACAGCCCAAAAGTACCAGGAGGGAAATGGGACCTGAAGGACTCTGGGGGAGGTTTTTCTGAGAGCTGCAAACCACGAGGTGGTGGACAGGGTCCCAGCACCTCCTTCCCCTCCCTGGTCTGTGCTGTCCTGATCACCTTCTCCATCAAGTCTCTCTGGTTGCCATCGTGGTGGCACTGGAGGGCTGTTTGGGACTCTGTGTGTCCAACTGAGACAGGAAAGGTTTGGAGGATTTTGATCTCAAACTCCCACCTCCAGCCCAGTTCCCACCCTGACTGCTCAGCTCCTGCCCCTCCGTCTTCTCTCTCTCCTGGGATGCATCTGAGGTCTCCTTTTTCCTCAGCAGCCACCCAGGAACCCCTCAAAGCAGGTAATCCAGGAGTTCCCTCCCCGAGATGAACCTGCAGAAAAGCCAGACCCTTCTCCAACTCACATCACCTTCAGCAGCTCCATCCGACGGGCCAGCCCAAGAACTGTCTCCTTTAGGGTAAGAGCTGAAGCAGCTGGGGAAAGAATTCTGTTGCCCAGTGGAGGCTGGGGGGAAGGAAGGATTGCTTTGGCCTCTGGATTATGTGGGCAGAACCTGTTCCCAGAAGTGTGTTCACAATTTACCCTTGCTCTGGGCAGTTCTGCTTCCCTCTTCCCCCTGTTTTCCTTCTCCATGTCTGGCTGAAGGTGTGTGGGGTGAGCACGTCCAGTTCATACACCTTGTGCTGGCTAGAAAACTCAGGGAAGGGATGAGAACACAGGCAGCTCATTGTCCTCAGAACTTCCAGAGCCACAGGAATTACCATCCACCTTCCAGCCTTTCCAGTCTTCTGTGAAAGCACAGGATAAAAATAACACCCATTCTCCCTCTCATGCCATGTTACAGTCTGAGAATATATTTCATTTCAAAAGAGATCTCTTTTGTGATTGAAGTGAATTTTGTGAATAAAGTGATTGAAGAGGCTGGGAAAACCAAGAGCTGTCAAGATCCTCCCTGTTTGAGTCGGGGCTGACTGGCTACACCTGAGTGACTAACATGAGGCTTTATTTGGAATAAAACTGTTACCACCATAAAGTGTCTACAGTCTGGGGAGCTTTGAGATACGAGATAAGTTCTGGTGTGGGTGCAAATGGAGCTTTCCTGGGGCAGATCAGTGAGATAGCACCTCCCATGCTTGTCTTGGATAACCAAAGTTCACTGCAGGATCTCCTCTCCTTGTGTCTTCCAGATCATCTCCAGGAAGCAGAAAGAAGAGAGCCCAAGCCCTCTCACAAGGAGGTCAGCACCTCTCATGTTGCTTTTTTTGGTCCTGCTGGGCAGGAACCGCTGTCCTTTGTTTTCCAAGGGAGGAGGAGGAGGAGGTGATGGGGCCTGACTGGCCTGGCACAGATCTGCTGGACATCGGTCCCCAGGGTGCTGGACTTGGCAGGGGACAATGTCCAACCAATGTCCAATGAATGAGATCCTGGAACCACAGAAAGGTTTGGGTTCCAAGGGACCCTAAAGATCTCATTCCACCCCCTGCCATGGGCAGGAATATCCTCCACTCTCCCAGGTTGCTTCAGTAGCCCCCAGCGAGCCCCCAGTGTCTCCTGAGTCATGTAGGTGCGTGTTGGTGCTTGTGTCTGCACAGGTCCCATCCATGGGGATGTCAAAACATGTCCATGAGCAGCCAGATCTGGCTTTGGTGACCAGATCAAGGGATCCTCCACCTCTCTGGGCAGGTGCACACTGACACTGGGGGCGATGCAGTTCAGAGCTGGCAGAGCTGAAGCCAGGGCAGGCTGAGGAGCTCTGAGATGTTTCAGTGTTCCAGTGTGGCTCTGGGAAGGTGGTGACACGCAGAGATCTCAGTCAGCAGCAGGGAATGGACTGCTTGCTTTACCTGGCAGATAGATGCAGGAGTGGGGACAGAGCCTTCTCCTGCTCCCCAGGATGACTGGCTGGGTCCCAGGAGATCCTGAGGGGTTTCAGCTCTTCTCTTCTTCACCAGTGCGAGCCTGAGGATCCCGGGCAGCAACAGCACCATTGGGGAGAAGCTGGAAAAATACAACTCGGCTGTGCAGGTACCAGAGACCCTTGGCAGAGCCAGGCAGGGGTGGGAGAGATGTGTGGAGAGACAGAGAGGGGTGGCCTGAAGCCAAGTGGGGAGGGGAGGGCCTGAGCCTGCCCCAAATACCGGAGCTGATGGGGATGAAGGGGATGGTTCCAGGCAGGAAAAGGGATTGGCCCCAGGGTTTTAGGAGCAGGGACCCTTGGGGAGGATGTGGGGATGCTGCAGGGAGGGGATGGCCTTTGGGGAGGGTGTGGGGATGCAGGGGTTCATTGGGGGAAGCAGTGCACAGGGCTGTGAGCTGGTGATGGTGGGGGGGACCAGACCCCAAGGGGCTCAGGGTGTGACCCCGACTTTGCTGCTCACCCCTCGGGGTACAGCACGGCCCTGCTGACGCCCCTCTCTCCCCCAGCGCTCAGAGGGGGTGAAATCCTCCGTGCCTGTCCACAAGAGTCGCCCGCTCTCCTCGGAGGGGGTGGCGAGCAAGCGCAACTTCTTCGAGGGCAGCGCTCCCGGCAAGGCAGAGGCAGTGGTGGTGAGGAAGGTGAGGCAGGAGCTGCCCTGGGCTCAGCTCCCAGCGGCTCTGTGCTGTGCCTTTGGGACAGATCTTGCCCCCTCGGGCTCAGGCTGGCAGGCTGAGCAGGGCTGGGCTGGCGCTGGGTGCCAGGGCTGTGTTTGGGCACAGGGCTGCAATCTGAGGAGCTGGGATGGAGCCAGCAGCGTGTGGGCTGGGCTGTGCCTGCGGCTCTGCTCGGGCTCCCCATGCCCTGGGGACTGGACTGGGTTACATTCGTGCACAGGGAGGGCTGTAACCCCGCTGTCCCTCTCTGTGCCACAGGACAGCCTGAGGATCCCAGGATCAGTGACATCCCGCATTAATCTGTGGATCAGCCGGGCTCAGGAGCCTGCCAAGGAGGAAAATACCAAGGTACCAGCTTGTGTCAAGCTCAAGTGAGGGCCCTGAGACCAGGCAGCCCCACAGGACACGGTGCTGCTCCTCGGGGTGGGGTTGAAGCGGGGGTGAACCCTTGGCTGAACCCATTGAAGGGTTTGAGAGCAGTTTAGGCAGGTTTGGAGACCTCAGAGCTGCAGGGCCACCGTGATGACATATCAGGGCTCTGCTTGTTGCTGTGTCCTGACTGTGAGCCCACAATTCCTAAGACAGCAGGAACAGATTCCTCACCCCTTGGTGGGCTGAGGAGGGAGCAGGAGCATTTCCCAGGACACGCAGGGGTACCTGACCCCAGCACCCCAGCATGATCCCATCTCTGCTATCCCATCTCCTCTGGATCAGCAGCTCTGCCTGGACACCGGTGGAGAGAAGCTGTGTGCTTGGTCCCTGAGCTCTGAGGGGCTTGGAGACCTGTGTGTGCTTGGAGAGGTCCTGGTGCATGTCTGGAGTCATCTGCACCCCTGAATGGAACCAGAACCCGAAAATAGGGGGTCTTGTGGCCGTGGGCGCAAAGTGCCTGGCCAAGGGGACTCAGAGGTCATCACTTGGTCACTGTGACTGCTCCCTGACGTGTGCAGGAGAGGGACGAGAGAGCTGCTTGCCCCAGGGTGCTTTGGTGTTCTCAGAAAGGAGGAGCTCAGCAGGTCCTGGACAGCTCTCACTGCTCACACAGGGAGGGCTTTGGCCACTGCTCGTGGCAGCCAGCTGGCCCAGGAGGTGCAGCTCCAGCCCTGCAGCCAGGGAAGGTGAGTCCAGGCTGGGCTGGGCAATCAACACTGCCCAGATGTGCCTGCAGCAGGCAGCTGTGCCAGCAGAGGGTTTGCTCCTGGAGCCACTCCTGGGGAAAGCCTGCAGCTCCTTGATCAGTTCTCCTTCAATAGCCCCTGCTCTGATTCCGTGCAGCTGCACTTGGCTTTGAGGGTGTCCCAGGTCCAGGATCCCAAAGCTGGCTGGTTTCACCTGCACAGAGTGTGCCTCAAGGTTTGGATACAGTCAGACCAAGGCAGTGCTGCACACCATGCACAGAGAAAGCTTTCTCCTGTCACTTCTGACTCTCCTGTTTGCAGGAAATCCGGAGAATCAACAGCCTGCCAAAGCGAGACGTCTGGATAAAGCAGCCTGGAGACACCTCTGGAGACACCAAGGTAATTATGGAGCTGCTCTGAACCCTGGTGCATCCTCTGAGGCAGGACAGAGGCAGGATATGGGGGACAGGGGACATGGGGGGTCTCTGTGACTTTGGAGAGGACAACTGGAGGCATCTGTAAGGGAGAGAAGGACTCTGCTCTGGGAGGAGAAGGCAAGTGGGCTGTGATGGGATTTAGGGGATGCCTGCCTGCCCCATCCCCTGCTGGGGACAGCCACTGTCCTGGTTAAAGCAGCTGCTGGTGGGGTGGTTGCAGCCTCAGGCACAGCCTCAGTGGTTCCCACTTTCTTTTCCAGTTGCAGTAATACCAGCTGTTGTATCAAACCATCTGGGAAAAACTGGTTTGCTCCAAAGATCACAGCCCAGCCCTACCCAACCGTCCAAAAGCCACTGCCACGAGTCCCCTGTGCCACGTGTGGGTGCAGGCCAGGTCATGGGGTCCTCTGCTTGTGGGATGGGAAGGAAGAAGCCTGGCAGAGTGTCCCCGTGCCCCCAGTCCCCACTCACTGCCTGTCTGGGGGTGTCCAGGCCACCAGGCTCCCCACAGATGCTGAAGACAAACTCCTGCCTTGTTTGCCCACCACATTTTGCTGTTCTGTTCCTGATCTCTGCCCGTGCCCCAGGACTGCCCTGGCAAAGGGGATCCCCCCCCCACGGCTCCCTGGCAGCTGGAAGATGTCAGTGGGGCGAGAACCTGCCTGGCCAAGGGAGTTCCAGCCTCACCTCCATGGACCGTGCCCGTCCCTGCTGCCTGGTGGGGCAGGGGGTGTCACCCCCTGCCAGGCTGTCACTGCCAGGGTGACCCAAGCAGAGGATGATGTTCATGAAGTCACACCAGTGCTCCGAGGTGTCCCATGGAAGAAGGGGGAGCTCGGCCCTGGGGCTTCCTTCCACACACAGCTGAACCAGAGACTGCTCCTTGTCCCTGTCCCTGCAGGCAGTGACCCCCCATCCAGTGATGCAGGGAGGGTGAGCTGGCCCTGGCCGTGGCCACAGCCCTGTGTGGGGCTTGTCATGGAGCTGAGTGCCCTGTGCTGGGCCCCATTTCCCTCCTGCCTTCCTGAGCCCTTTGCTGCGTAGCCCCTGATCCTGCATTCCCTGTGGAATGTCCCCAGCAGGGACAGGGGATGCTCTCTTGAGGCCTTTAGGGTGCCATGGACAAAAGGCTCAAACTCTCTTATTGGGGCCATTCTTTGGGTTTGGGTTGTGCTTTGAGAAACCACTGTGGTGACAAATCCAGCGTGGGAACCTGCTGCTGCCCCTGGGGCTGATCCTGCTTGTGGGGCTTGGGGAAGGACTTGGGTTTCTCTGGGCTTTTTTTTTTTTCTAATAAAAGTTTCTCTTTCTAAGACACTGCTGGTCACCTGCTGCTGGTCTGGGACTGGAAACTTCCCTTCTCTTCTCCCCACAAGGGGAAAAAAGGGAAAAGCCCCGAATCCAATGTGTCCTGGGGGGTTTAAAACAGACTCGTCCCCTGTTGCAGCATCCCGAGCTGAGGAGCTGCCGGGCAGGGTCGGTCCCTGCTCCTGCTTTATCAGGTCCCGGTGACAGCTGGGCTGCCTTGTGTCAGCCCCTCGGGCACTCGCGTATCGCCGGCCCCGGGGTTTAAAATAGCAAATCTCTGAGGCCACACAATAGCTTGGGCTTATATGGGCTCCTGGGGGGGAAGGGGGAGCGGCAGAGGGGGCCAGGGCCGTGGCTGCCGAAATAGCAGCTCACAAGTGTTGCATTCCTCGCTGGGCGCCGGGCACATTCCTGCGGCTCTGCCCGCCCCGGGGTGGGCGCTGGAGCCCCCTTAAAGCCTCCTGCCACAAAGAGCCTTCCCCAGACCCGCCGGCTCCCCCAGCTCCCGGCAGCACCGCAGCTCAGGTAGGGCTGGGGGTGCCAGGTGGGATGGGATGCTCTGGATCCAGCCCAGGGAGGGGGGGGATGCTGTGGATCCAGCCCCAGGAGGGGTGGGATGCGCTGGATCCAGCCCAGGGAGGGGTGGGATGCTCTGGATCCAGCCCAGGGAGGGGTGGGATCTGCTGGATGCAGCCCCAGGAGGGGTGGGATGTGCTGGATCGAGCCCCAGGAGGGGTGGGATGTGCTGGATCCAGCCCCAAGAGAGGTGGGATGTGCTGGATCCAGCCCCAGGAGGGGGCGGATGTGCTGGATCCAGCCCAGGGAGGGGTGGGAGGCTCTGGATCCAGCCCAGGGAGAGGGGGGATGCCCTGGATCCAGCCCAGAGAGAGGAGGGATGTGCTGGATCCAGCCCCAGGAGGGGTGGGATGTGCTGGATGCAGCCCCAGGAGGGGTGGGATGTGCTGGATCGAGCCCCAGGAGGGGTGGGATGTGCTGGATCCAGCCCAGGGAGAGGTGGGATGCCCTGGATCCAGCCCAGAGAGAGGAGGGATGTGCTGGATCCAGCACCAGGAGGGGTGGGATGCCCTGGATCCAGCCCAGGGAGGGGAGGGATGCTCTGGATCCAGCCCAGGGAGGGGAGGGATGCTCTGGATCCAGCCCAGGGAGGGGAGGGAACCATCTCAGGGTTTGGGGTGTCCCCTGGCCGCTCTCTCCTGGGTGTTTTATTCCTTGGAGCCATGCCCATGCATAAACCATCAGGACCCTCTCCAGCGCATTTGCAAATTTGCAGTTTGTCTTTTGAGGCACCTCGATGTGGCTCAGGTGGCTCAGAAGGATTTTGGCTGCCCTGGTTCAGGGAAATGCCCCAGTTCCCCGTTCCCTGCAGGAGACAGCAGGGATGTGATGCCATGGCCAGCCTGGCCCTGCCTCTCTGCAGCCCAGGGCTGGGTTAGGTTTGGGATGCTCCTGTGCCTGCTCTGAGCCTGCCAAGCAGGACTGGAGCAGGGACTGGAGCAGGGACATGGCCCATTCCTGGAGCAAACAGTGGGAAACGAGAGCTCCGTGTCTGGGCAGGCTGCAGCAAAGCAGGGACTCACAACTGTGGAGGATTAACTCAGCCCCAGAGCTGTGAGCAGCCAGCCCTGAGCTAAAGGATAGGGGGATTTCAAGGAGTGTGAGGAATATCTGGATTGTTCCACACACAGCAAATTCTGGGTGATTGGTTGTAGTCAGAGCAATATTTCCTCTTTATCTCTGTAATGTCTGCTGGGTTCTCCTAGTTCTACCAAATCAAGATTTCCAAGCTTTAATGAAAAGGTTTGTGTTTCTGTGCAGATGATACGTAAATATTTCCTTGAGCCACTTTTTCTCTTGTGTAGCCTCTTAACAGTGCTGGATTTGTTCTGTTCCCTCAGCTCTGTGGGATCTAGCAGTGTCTGAGGGAGGAGGGCAATGGGAATGTAGGGAGAGGTTTTCACACTGCTGGGACTGGGAACCCTCTTCTCCTGTGTCACGGAATGATTGTGTGCAGCCTTGGGTGCTCAGAGGCCACACAAATGATTTGGCCAAACTTGTGGCATCAGGAGCATGCTGAGCCTGGGGAAAAGTGGGAACTGATGTTCCTGGAGCAGCAGTGATCCTGGGGATGGTGCTGGAGGGGGTGCAGAGCCCAGCCCTGGAGCCATCACAGGAAAGGGAGCAGTGACAGCAGGAGCAGGCGGCGCAGAGGGGGCTGAGCTGTGCCTTTATTTGTCTCCAAAAAGCACCTTGTGAGTAACAGTGAGATTAGAGACCCTCTGGAGCCCTGGGCATGCCAAGGTTCCCCTCCTGGAACGCCCCTGTCCCATGCCTGAGCATTCCAAGGCAGGATCCAGCATCCTGAACAAACACTCCTGAGGCCTGTCCCACCCATCCTGGGTAATAAATGCTCGACAGATGTAGCGAGAGCAGTTGTTCCCAGAGCCGGGGCAGCAGGAGCAGGGGAGCCTTGCTGCTCTCAGAACAGGTGCTTCAGCACATGGGAGTTATTTCCAGAGCTGCCTTGCTCTGTCCTGTGGCATCTCAGCCCTGCTGAGGCTGGCACGAGCAGGGACAGGGCTGGGCTGGGGCTCTGGGCTGCTCTGGGGTGCCCAGGGATGGGGCTGGTGGCTGCAGATCTCACCCAGTGCTGGGTGAAGGTCAAATAGGGTGAGATGATGAGCCAAGTCCTCCTGAGCACAGCTGGGAGACAGATGTGCTGGGAAGATGAAAGGCTGTTTCTGCAGAGGTTTTAGCCCTAAAACCAGGGCTAAATGACTAAACCAGGCTGTAGATTATTCCTTTTAGCTAACAGTGTATAAATGGCCCTGCTGATCCCAGGCTGTCCCTCTCCCAGCATTTCTACACTCGGAGGGCTGGGCTGGGAGGGTTTGCTGAGGCCTTGTGCTGGTGCAGGGCTGCACATCTGAGAGGAGGGGTCATCCCTGAGCTAAGAATAGTCAGGACCAAAACAAGCTGAACACTGCAATGGGGTGATTTTCCTGTCCCCTGAGCAAACACAGCCCCTGAGAGGGCTGGGCCAGGGGGGCTGAGTGTCCTGGACATGGCTCCTGACAGTTCTCAGTGTGACAGGAGGCTGTGTCCAATCTCCTGCCTCCTGCTTGATCCTGGGACAGGAGGGGGACAGGAGCCTTATCTCTGCTGAGATAACGCTGTCACATCCTGGCTGGGGACAGCTGGAAGCTCCAAGTGCTTTGGAGAGAAGCAGCATTCCGTGCCCCTGGCCTGGTGCTGAGGGACAGGCTGTGCTGGCCCTTATCTCACTTCTAACCCTCCCTTTTTCCAATCTGCCTCCAGCTCTGCCAGAGAAGCAGGGATGTCAGACACGGAGGAGGTCACCGAGGAGTATGAGCAGTAAGTGGGGTGGTTTTAACCCCTTTTCTTTCTCCCTGTTCCCACTTTCCCACTGCAGCATTGCTTGGAAGTGACCTCATTGTTACCCCAGCACCCAGCAAGGACCCCCAGCCTTGGCAGGACCCCAGCAGTGGGAATTGGTGGTGGGAGCTGTATCCACACCCATGGGCAGGACAAGGATGGTTCCTACATTAAAAATATGCAGTTGAAATCTGTGAGACAGAGATGGGAAAAGCCACCAGCCTGTTGCTGCTGGGGTCCTGCTGCCACATCCAGAACATCACTCCCCAAGGCCCAGATCTGAGAGCAGCTTCTGCTGATGGAGGCTCTGGGCCAGGAGGCACATCCTGAGGAGATGGGATTGGGGTTATGGGGGTGAGCTCAAACACAGCTCCCACTTCTCATCCACCAGCAGAGAGAGGGGACCTGAATCCTCTGGTGTTTCTGTGCCAGACTCATGTGTGTCACCAATCCCCCTGGGACAGGCTGTGCATCTCCCCCACGGTCAGGGAAGGACCTGGGGGCAAAGGTGGGCTGTGAGATGCCCATTTCTGGGATTACAGGCCAAGGTCACTCATCTTCTCATGCTGCAAAATGGTCCCCTGACCACTGCTGAAATGCCAGTCCAGACCTTCAGCCCCTGGTCTCCACAGCCTGCAGAGTGACCTGGGCCATGTCCCTGTCCTCAGTGCCAGCTGACAGCCACCCACACAGCAGCTGCCAGCAGCCCTGGCCCTGAAAGGGGAGCCAGCCTTGAGGAAATCCCAAATTCACCTCAGCCTCCCTTCCCTGATGGGCCCCGTTCCAACTCAGTGTAAAACTCTGCAAATTCCTGTTGTGCTTTGCAGGGAGCAGGAAGGTAAGAGGACATGGAGCACCTGCAGCTGCCCTGATGCCAAAAACTGATCAGAGCAACTCCAATAACCTGAGGTTTCTTTCCCTTTTCTCTGTCTGTGGCCTGTGTGCTCTGTGAAGAGGAGTGCGTGGAGGAAGGTAGGAGCTGCTTTTGCAAGGACCCAGAGCCACATCCTGGGGCTTCAGTGTTTTGCTGGGGGGTTTGGGGATCAGCTCCTGGGCTGCAATGGGCAAATCATGTCCAGGAAAGGCAGATGTGACCGTGTTTGAGATGCCTGCACCTGAAACATCAGTAGGATCAAAACTAGTCTGAACTCTCTCAGGATCTCTTTTGTCAGTGATCCTTTGACTCAAAGCAGGGCTGGCAATGCTGGACATGGGTGTTGGCAGAGATGTGATCCCAATATCCCAATGGGGGCTGGAGCCTCTGCTGAACATGTGAGAGTCATGGCCAAGCTCAAACTTCCACCTGCCTCAGCCTGCTGGAGACACAGCCCTGGCACGGGAGCTGGGCTGGGCTGGGCTGGGCTGAGCTGGGCTGGGAGCTGGGCTGAGCTGGGCTGGGAGCTGGGCTGAGCTGGGCTGGGA